CCGAGGCCGGTATTTCCCGAAAAATACCGGACCATAGCCGCTGTATAGTAAGGCATTTTGGTAAATTTGCGACGATCGCGGTAGAAAACGACTCGCAAAAGCTCGACTCGATCCGCCGAACGCCTCCCGAACTGTTCCGAACTCGGGACGCGATTGGCTGAGACGAGAACCGTTTCCGGATTACTTCCGGAACCCGTACTTCCGGAATTTTGTCGCCGACCGTTGGCCGCACTGCCTCTCCCCTCCACCCACGCGCGCTTCCCATAAAACTTCGCGAGCCGAACGCGGGAAATTAGTTAGTCTCCGAGCTTCCGCTATGACGGATCCGACGACGAGAATCCCGACGCGTCCGAGGGTAACGCCAGCGCCCGCCAAACCACCACTATTGGGGGCCACTCCGAGCCGACCACCGGGCTCCAGGGCGAGGCAGAACGACGCGGAGAAATTTTGGCGGAAGGCCATGGCCCGCCGTACTCGGAACAACCCGGACTTGATCCGACGCGGGATAGCGGGACGGCGACGACCACCGGAGAGTATCCCGGTGGTGCACCTCTCCGAGGAGGAGGACGGGCATCCGACCGACGCCGCTCCTGCCTCCGCTCCGACCACCGGGCCCACCATCAGGCTGGTTGAGGTGTACCCGCGCCATACATTCCGGCTCCTGCAGCCACCAGCAACCGGAAGAAGTGCCGTCTCCGCGGCGGGGATCGCCGCCCCGAAACCAGCGGAGGTGGTGGCCGCTCGACCGACCGCTCGTCCCCGGGCTCCGGGGGTGACCCAGGCGCCGACCGCCACCGCCCCCGGGCCCGCACCGAGCAACGAAGGGGCTCAGCCTACGCAGACGAGGACGATGCCGCGGATGCCCCGCGACCCGTTTTGTTGGAGACCGACGACGCCGCGGGAGGAACGGGACGTGGTTGTGGATGGGTGCCTGATCCGGGTGCCCATCGGCAGTAAGCGCTGGCGCACCCGGATCGGGCGAGTTAAGTACGCGCTCCGCCTCGACCCGGCAAACGGAAACGTGCGACATTGGTCGAAGCGCCAA